CATTGAGGGTAAGACAAGAACTGGCTTTACTGTGGGCTACCTGACCGTATTTATGCAGGTCTCCCACTTGGTGGACACTCCCCTAGGGGACCAAATGGGAGACTGTGACAACAGATAGACATATGGCAGTTCAGGACCCACAGACACAAAATATTCCTAGCATGCAATAATAATTCCTCCCCTCTGCCCTGGAGATAATTGAGAAGTAATTCAATTATCTCCAGGACAGAGGCAAATCGCCATTTTACATTCAACACATAAAAACACATACAAATATATAACTTTACATTTGTCGAATGCTACCCATTCGTATCACATACCCCCAGATAGCCTGGATCTGAGTGCATATTATTGGCGAATAGCACTCAGATCCCATATGCATAGTTCAATCGCCATGGAGTCAAAGTCTATTACAGTTCTTCGGTATGCGATGGACTCCATGGGAAGGCTATCTGGGGTAAGTCCATTCGTGCCTTTAAACCTCCCGAACGGCCGGTGTTCGCACACTTCTGTCGATTGAGAAGGGAGGTCGGCGGCTTCAGCGGTGTTCGGTTCAAAAAATGTCCGTTTTCAGTTCCATGAAATAAATGTCGATCACCGCTGGTCTTTCGCATTGTTTAAAATGGCTGCCGCCTCGTGGTCGACATACGAACGACGACCACCCTGTATTCGGTTTTAATTGAGAAGTGTCTGTGGTTAATCGCAACGTTCTAATTGGGATCAATAGGTTAACCAGCAGCACAATTCTCTTCTGGGTGGCCGTCCGTTCGGCAGTTCCATTCGGCAGAAAGGTCTATTCACTTAAACAAAGGCATACGAACGGGTAAATTCATGAAAAAGGCAAAACAGACGAATCCAGCAATCTTAGTCCATACAGATGGATCTGTCACAGTATGTACTTTACTAATAAACATTATGGGCAGCGAGGACTTAAATAGGTCATGTACTGCTTTTATAAACCTACACAGACACACACCTTATATATATTTGAAATATAAAGAGACAATCTAAGCCAAGTTGATGACCAAATAATAACCTTTAGGCTATAATGTCAGAGTTAGAAAAGGTGGCTGAAATTTTAAGCTCAGCGGAAACACTGCTGCTATTCCTTTTAACTCTCTGTTTAATGGCTAAAATTCTAAGAAGCTCACTATATTTACAGTACAAGCAGACCAGGGGACATGATTACTATGCTACAATTGTTTCTAAAAGGACATAATACACACCCTTCATTGTGTAATGCATATAACCTCATCTACAAACAATAGTTAATTATTTAATGAACACTGAATAATTAAAGTGGAAAATTTGAGTGCTCCCTCTACATTACACCAAGCAACACTTACATGTTTATTTTGAGCTGTCATTGTTTGGGGAAACTAACAAATCTCTGAAATAACATGCTTTTTATTAAGTGTACTTTGGAACAATATACTTTAGAACTCCCTAGACCATTCTGAGAAGCATTATTCTATACAATAAGCAGCAGGAAGTGCAAATTTAAATCAACCAGTCTAATGAGATATAGTAGTCCTGTGCATTTCCTTCACACCTTCCGGGATGGAGATGGACAGGGAAGAGAGCAGGCTCTTTGCAGGAAGCTAACCTGCCTGTCAAAGTGGTGTACCCATTTGTAAAGAAGGTTGCCTCCTCAAGCAGACCATGTACACTGTTGAAAAGGTCGATGCATGGCCCTAGTGCCCAGTTTCTCCTGCATTTTGAAATTTGCCATTTGCAAAATGTGGGACCTAGATTTGCTGGGACAGTATCCCAAAATGTTAGACTGTCTCAACAAATTCTGGACTGTTGGCACTTATGCAGATTATATTGTCCTCATAAAAGGCCATACTTTCCTTCACCACATATTTTTTTTTTTTTATATATTTCAGATGAGTACCTGCCATGTGCAATTTTAGCACATATAGCTTATATAGTTAAGGCATTGGTACTCTTCTCATCATAAATATGTAGCAGGAAATAGGCCTGTACACACATTAAGTATTGAGCAAAGAGTGTAGAAGAGAGGAGAAAAACAATATTACTTCTGGCCTTGGTTTATTGATATTTGACCAAAAGAGAACTAAGAAAAAAAAAAAAGCCAGAAAAAGAGAAAAAAAAACAAAGGAGACTTAACGCCGTTGTAATTGTTAAATTATAGTTTCCATTTTCTTTATCCATAAAAAAACAGTCTTCTGAATGTATCTGCTTCCTACGTTCACCAAAATACCTCTTGCCATTTTTGCCTGCCACATGACTTTTGTTATTACTTCTTGAGTACATGGGATTTTCCCTGTTTTCCAGCTTCGTGCTAGAAGTAATTTAGCCGTCCTAATAATATGTTGCATTGGATTAATACTTTGTCATTTTGGCCATTTCAGGTTTA